TCAAAAAGTTGAAAATAGCTACCCTATGACCCAGCAATTGCACTACTAGGTATTTACCCCAAAGATACAAATGTAGTGATCTGAAGGGGCACCTGCACCCCAATGTTTATAGCAGCAATGTCCACAATAGCCAAACTATGGAAAGAGCCCAGATGTCCATCGACAGATGAATGGATAAAGAAGATGCATGTATACATATATACACACACACACACACACAACGGAATATTAGCCATCAAAAAAATCTTGCCATTTGCAATGATGTGGATGGAACTAGAGGGTAATTATGCTAAGCGAAATAATTCAATCAGAGAAAGACAGTTATCATATGATTTCACTCCTATGCGGAATTTAAGAAACAAAACAGGAGCATAGGGGAAGGTAGGGAAAAATAAAACAAGACGAAATCATAGAGGGAGACAAACCGTAAGAGACTGTTAATCTCAGGAAACAAACTGAGGGTTGCTGGAGGGAGGGGGGTAGGGGAATGGGGGTAACTGGGTAATGGACATTAAGGAGGGCATGTGATGTAATGAGCTCTGAGTGTTCTATAAGACTGATGAATCACTGAACTCTACCTCTGAAACTAATAATACACTATATATTAATTAATTGAATTTAAATGAAAAAAATTTCTTCATTTACTTAAAAAAAAGTCTGTCCATTCTGTCATTGATAACATTTGGCTATTTCCGGGTGCCTGGGTGGCTCAGTCGGTTAAGCGACTGCCTTCGGCTCAGGTAATGATCCTGGAGTCCCGGGATCAAGTCCCTCATCGGGCTCCCTGCTCAGCGAGGAGCCTGCTTCTCCCTCTGACCCTCCCCCCTCTCGTGCTCTCTCTCTCTCTGTCAAATAAATAAAATCTTTAAAAAAAAAAAACATTTGGCTATTTCCAATTTGGCGAGTAGAAATAATGCTGCTGAGAACATTCTTATATGTTTAGGTTCACATAAGCATGCAATCTCTTGAGTGTATCCATAGGAGTAGAATACATAAGGATTGTAGGATACTCATATATTCAACTTGAGTATATTCAGTTAGTTTTCCAGAGTTGTGCCAGCTTGCACTCCAGCTAGCAACATACTAGCTCTGATGCTCCACATTGTTATCAACTCTTGATATTGTCCATCTTTTTTATTTTTATTTATTTATTTTTTTAAAGATTTAATTTATTTATTCGTCAAAGAGAAAGAGAGAACATAAGCAGGGGAAGCGGCAGGTGGAGGGAGAAGCAGGCTCCCCACTGAGCAAGGGGCCTGATGTGGGACTCGATCCCAGGACCCTGGGATCATGACCTGAGCCAAAGGCAGATGCTTAACCGACTGAGCCACCCAGGCGTCCCTTTTCAGTCTTTTTTAGTATCTAGTATTTTATTATGGTTTTAATGCTCATCTCCCTGATGACCAATGGGGTTAAGCATCTTTTCATATGTTTATTGGATATGATATTAGTAATTTAGATAATAGGTTAGAAAAATGTTTTTTTCTGGTTCACTTACAGTGTTGGTGGCTGTTGTGAAGCTCTGTGTGTTCTTATTCTGGAAGTCAGGCTGAAACAGCAGCCCCTCTTTGGAATATGCTCCTATTTCAGAGGGAAAGAGGAAAAAATTAACAGAAACTACTATCTTTTCAAGCTTCTGCTTGGATTTATCAAAGTTCATGTCTATTCATATTCCATAGGCCAAAGCATATCACAAAACCGTGCTCAGTGTCAGTGGGTGAGGGAAGTATTCTCTCACAAGAGGCATTGCAAGTCATATCACCATGGATGGGGGTGAAAAATCCTTTCACAGGAGAAGGAGAAAGCACAAATACTCTCGAACAAAAATAAAGTCTACCACTTTGTTAGGTGCCTGTTGAACTCTTATGTTTATTTTTTTTTTAAAGATTTTATTTATTTATTTGACAGAGAGAGACAGCGAGAGCAGGAACACAAGCAGGGAAACAGGAAGACCGAGAAGCAGGCTTCCCGCTGAGCAGGGAGCCCGATGTGGGACTCGATCCCAGGACCCTGGGATCATGACCTGAGCCGAAGGCAGACGCTTAACGACTGAGCCACCCAGGCGCCCGTGCCTGTTGAACTCTTGTCATTTTCTCTTATCTTGACTTTTTCTCAGTGATTGCTAATGAGGTTTTTTTCCCCTCCTTTTTTCTTTTTTATAGTAAGTTCTGGATATAAAACTGGGTAGCTCAGGGGCGCCTGGGTGGCTCAGTCGTTAGCGTCTGCCTTCGGCTCAGGTCATGATCCCAGGGTGGTGGGATCGAGCCCTGCGTTGGGCTCCCTGCTTGGCGGGAAGCCTGCTTCTCCTTCTCCTATTCCCCCTGCTTGTGTTCCTTCTCTCGCTTTGTCTCTCTCTATCAAATAAATAAAATCTTTAAAAAAAACAAAACAAAACAAAACTGGGTGGCTCAGTCAGTTAAGCGTCTGACTCTTGGTTTCGGCTCAGGTCATGATCTCAGGGTCCTGAGAAGGATCACCACTCAGCGGGGAGTCTGCTTGAGATTCTTTCCCTTCCCTCTCCCTCCCCCTTAGCTCTTTCTCCACTCTTGCTTGCGTGCTCTCTTTCAAATAGATAAATAAAATCTTAAAAAAAAAAAAAACCAATAAAACTTGTTGGTTATATGTAGTGCAGATATTTTCTCCCACTCTTTAACTTGCCTTTTAAATCTCCTTATGTCTTTTGTTAAATAAAATTCTTTTTTTTTTTAAAAATTGACATGTAGTGTTAGTTTCAGGTGTGCAGCATAATGGTTTGATATTGTGTATATTGTAAATAAAATTATTAATTTCAGTGTTGTCTCATTTATTAGTATTTTTCCTTCATAATTGTGCTTTTGTGTCTTGTTTAAGAAATCTTTCCTTACTCCAAAATTATGAAGATACTCTTCTGTTGGGCGCCTGGGTGGCTCAGATGGTTGAGCGTCTGCCTTCAGCTCAGGTCATGATCCCGGGGTCCTGGGATCGAGTCCCACATCGGGCTCCCTGCTCCGTGGGAAGCCTGCTTCCCCCTCTGCCTCTCTCTCTCTCTCTCTCTGTCTCTCATTAATAAATAAAATAAAAAATCTTTAAGAAAAAAAGATACTCTTCTGTTATCTTCTAGAGTCTTTATTGTTTTGCCGTTTATATTTCAGTTTGCAGTCCTCTTAGAATTAGTGCTTAGTTGACATTTTAACATACTTCTGTAAGTCTAGGAAAAAGCTGAAGTGGTTTCAAATTAACTCAGTTTACGTATAGAAACATACTGATACTAAACTCATGTATATGTAGAAAATATATCTATTAGTAACACCTCTTTTACCAAATCCTCAGAGATGAAAACATACTGGACATGTTTAAATTTTTACTGCATTTAAAACTCAGAAATTCATCTTTCTCCATAATTGCAGGTAGCCAGTGAACCACAAAGTCTTTACTATTTCAGATATCATCAGGAAGATAACATGTTCCTTAAATGAGGCCTTAATCCTGGTCCTTCTCGAAGTTGAGATTTTCATTTTTATTTCATCTTGTGTGCTTACTTAATTTCTTCCTCTTGTCCCAATTTGTCTGAAGAAATTTCTAGTGAAGAAACAAGGGGAATAATATCTGGATGGTTTAATATAGGAATTGTTTGAATAATTGTATTTCTGTTATGCAGACACATTGGTGGTTTGCCTTTAGCAAAGGCTGAAGTTTCCTACAGTGGTACTTAACACCTAAACATTAAACATATTTTGGAGAGTTATTACTATTTTAATATTTGTAGGAGAGTTTGGGAATTAAGTTTTATCATCCAGTAGACCAAAATACTTGATCTTAAGAATTGACCAAGTTAAACAAATAGTAACACTTGGAAATTGTTTGTTTTTAACTTTGTACATGGCATTTATTGTCCATTGTAAATGTAAATTTTTTAATCTTTGTAATAGATCTTAAGTTAAAATGAGAAGGCTTGTCTGACTTTTAGCATTGAGAGTTCAGCTTGCAATTGGTCAAAACTTTTTTTTTAAGATTTTATTTATTTGACAGAGACAGCGAGAGGGAACACAAGCAGGGGGAATGTGAGAGGGAAAAGCAGGCTTTCCGCGGAGCAGGGAACCTGATGGGGGGCTTGATCCCAGGACCCTGGGCTCATGACCTGAACCGAAGGCAGATGCTTATTGACTGAGCCACCAAGGCACCCTGAATTGGTCAAAACTCTTACCTGTAGAAAAGAGTAATTATTTAAACAGTAGTTGTTTAAGAAATAGTACACATTAAAGATCATTTTGAACATTAGTGAATAAAAAAATCACTGATTATAAAGGATTTGGTCAACATAGAAATAAATTTCATCTTTGTGTTCAATTTTAAAAAAATACATAGGTATCAAGAAGTTGGGATTCTTAGCGGGTACTACACAAGTTATTTGCATATGAGTACTTAGAAATAAATATACTAAGGGTGCCTGGGTGGCTCAGTTGGTTAAGTGTCTGCCTTTGGCTCCTTCATGATCCCAGGGTCCTGGGATTGGGTCCCATGTCCGGGTCCCTGCTCAGTTGGGAGCCTGCTTCTCCTTCTCCCCACCCCCACCTTGTGCTCTCTCTCTGACAAATATGAAATCTTAAACTAAAAAAAGAAACAAATGTACTACAAAAACTTGACATCTTAATATACTTAAAATATACTTTAAAATAAATTGCAGGAATAGTTTCAGGGTACAACCCCTAAATGTGGTTTTTGGTACTTCAAATGTAACATCTGAAGATAGGGTTTGTTCAAAAAGGGTTGCAGGACTGTGCCCCCCATTATGTGATAGCAGTTTTTTTTTTTTATAACTAACAACCACATGGATATGCAGTAATTTTTCTTCTGTAAAATTTACTTCCAACCTTCACTTAGATGTTTTGATTCTTGAGGACTTCCCCTTAAATGCCTTGATATTCAGACAAAGTAATACTAACTTTTGATATTTTTAGTAGTAAAGGTGGACCATTATCCAAGACTTCTTTTATTAACATAATATTGCCGTTGCTTTTCAGCGGGGATCTGATGAGCTTCTTTCTTCTGGTGTCATTAACGGACCTTTTACCATGAACAATTCTACTCCTACAGGTGTGTATGGTGAGTTTTCATTTTTTTCAAAATCTGAAATGTTTTCTTTCCATGAGTTTCAAAAAAATTTTTTTACACTGTTCTTAGCTCATCTTATAAACATTTGTTGAAGTCCATTATTTATAATAGAACTAAAATTTATTGCAGTAAAGTTCACATAAATGAAATTACCAATTGTAGCTCTTAAATTTTAAGAATTAATTTGGATCTAATTTGATAATTACTTTTTTGATTGATGTTCTTTGTGATAAAACTGTCAATAAGTTGGTGACCCAGAACAATTGAGTAAAAGAGCTATATTTAAAAGCTTGTGTTTAATGATGGTTTAGAATAATAGAAGTATTAAAACTATAAGATCACATGATTTTTAAAAAATTGGAACATAATTTACATTCCATAAGTTACCACATGGTTTAAAAATAATTGTTCTTGGGCACCTGGGTGGCTCAGACGGTTAAGTGTCTGCCTTTGGCTCAGGTTATGATTCTGGGGTCCTGGGGTCAAGCCCCACTTCGGGCTCCCTGCTGAGCAGGGGAGTCTGCTTCTCCCTCTCCCTCTGCCTGCTGCTCCCCCTGCTTGTGCTCTCTCTCTAATAAAAAATAAAAAAATCTTAAAAAAAAATAAAAATAGGTGTTCTTGAAATTTGGGGACTGTAAAATGAACTGGCAGAGTGCAGCGCTGGAGGAAGAGTGAGCAGGTAAGAGGCTACTGCTGTGTAGGATATCCCAGTAAGGGATGGTAATTTGTACTGTACCACTAGCAGTTGTGATAGAGAGAATGGGAGAATTCACTGAAGGTGAAATTGATGGTAGCTGGTGATTAATTGAATGTTTGAATAAGGAATTCCACTGATGATTTATTTCCAGGTTTTGGACTTGGATAATTGGGTAGATGAATATTGGTGCCATTCATATAGAAAATATAGAAAGAAGTTGGACAACATAGGAGGTTCAGATTTTTATATTTTGAATTTGAGGTTCCTTTGCAACATCCAAATGGAAGTGTTGGATAGTCATTGGGTTCTTCTGGTCTCAACATCAGGAGAGAAATTTGGAAGTTAGTATCATCCACAGTTGAAAAGGCATGTAGAGTGGAGAGTTTCAGAAAAAAATCAGATTTTATTTTTAGATATTTTACTTATTTATTAGAGAGAGAGAAAGAGCACACAATCGGGAGAGGGAGAAGCAGGCTCCCCACTGAGTGGGGAGCCCAGTGTGGGGCTCGATCCCAGGACCCTGGGATCATGACCTGAGCCAAAGGCAGACGCCCAACCGACTGAGCCACCCAGGTGCCTCTGAAGGCCAGATTTTTATCCAAATGTTTTTGGAGTTATAGGGAATAGGAAATGAGTGGACCTCACTTTCCAGACCCCTGAGCTACATGGTGTTTGGGAGAGTGAACAGCTTTTATGTGAGGACTGTATAAGAGAAGTGGACTAGGTTCAGTTAAGGCAAAAGATGCAATGAAAATTCATTTAAGAGATTAAGAATAAGTGGGAATTGGTTAACCATGGTACACTGCTCTATAGTACTAAATGGAAAGATTTTGTGGGGAGGACAGCAACAGAGGATTTGTTCATGTAGAAGTGTGAACAGAGTAATACGAGCTTGAAACTAAAGCTGTTTTCTCAAACTTGAGCTGGCATCAGAATCACCTGGAGGGCCTGTTAAAGCACAGTTCCTGAGTCCATACCCAGAATTTCTAATAAAGTAGATCTGAGGTGGGTCCTGAGAATTTGTATTTCCACCAGTTCCCAGGTAATGGTGATGTTGCCATTTGAGGAACCATACTTTGAGAAATGCTGTATGAAGAAATAGTAGAATCTGAAGTTTCTAAACCTGGTTATCCTCCTGGTCTGGTAGGCTTGTAAGAAAATGTCTGTCCTTAGGGTGCCTGGGTGGCTCAGTTGGTTGAGCATCTGACTCTTGATCTCAGCTCACGCCTTGATTTCGGTATTGTTGAGTTCCAGTCTCACGTTGGGCTCCACACTGGGCATGGAGCCTACTTTAAAAAAAAAAGTCCTTACTCCTAGAGTTACAGTACATCTAGGGTGGGACCCATTATGTTTGTTCTTATTTTAAAAACAGGTCACTTTGTGTGGTCACATTTATGAACTACCAGGCTGGATGACCAGAAAGATTTCATGCTGGTTGATTGATTACTTAGGAAAAGAAAGAAATATGAAATGGGAGTTTAGCCGGCAGCAGCAGTTTGTTCTGTTTTGCTTTTGTGTTTTGAATTTCTTATATCGCATTCTGTGTTCAGTGTTTCTCTTCCTGAAGCATATCTTCTTTAGTAGCTGTTTCTGCAAAGCTCTATAAATGGTAACTTCTCAGACTTTGACTAAAAACGTCTATTTCATTATCACTATTCAATGTTAGTTAGCTGTTTTGAATTTTAGGTTGACAGTTGTTTTCTCTTAACACATTGAAGGTACTATTCTATTATTCTTTTGGCTTCTGTTGTTTAGAAGTCTGTTGTCAGTCTTGGTTATTACTTTGTAGGCAAAATTACTTCTCTTTAGTTATTTTTAAACATTTTTCTCTTTATTTTTGTTCAGTGGTTTAACTAGCTATTTGTAAGTATGGATCACAAGTTCTCAACATCCAGGATGCTCACTAAAATAGCTTGGGAAGCTTTGAGGAAAATATAGATACCTTGACCTACCCCACACCAATTCTAAAATTTCGGGGTCGGGGGGTGGGCAGTGGAGGTCTAGGCAGTGTTTTTTTGTTTATTTTTAAAGCTTCTTATTTGATAATCTAAGGGTAAGCCAGTGTTGAGGACCATTGCTGGAGACTTACTTTCATTTATCCTGCTTAGGAGTGACCCAGCTCTTCCCAGAACTGCCTCCTCCTGAAACTCAAGTTAGACATGTATAGGACCTTTTCATTCAGGCCTGCATTTGTTTTAACCTCATACATTCATTGTCATGTCTTTCTCCTTAAGGTCCTATATTTTGGATAATTTCCTTAAAATGGTTTTCTGATTGACTCATTCTCTGTTCAGCTTTGTCTAATGTGCTGTTTAATCCTTCTGTTAAATATTTGCTTATAGTCTAGTGTTTTTCCTTGTGTGAGTCATAATTTTTAGCTTAATTGTTTTTTCTTCTGTGAGAATCTCTAAGGTGTTTTGTGTTTGCTCTGCTAGACTTTCTAAGGTATCACCAGCCCCTAACATGTTCCAATGTATATGTTAATTTTATTGCCTTGGAGATTCTTATACTGGAGGAAGAGAAAATTCAGAATCCAAACATTCACATTTTCCCATCAGAATCTGAACAGAGATAGGCTTCTTTTTTATTTTTTTTATTTTATTTATTTATTTTTAAAGATTTTATTTATTTATTCATGAGAGACAGAGGGAGAGAGACAGAGAGAGAAGCAGAGGGAGAAGCAGGCTCCCAAGGAGCAGGGAGCCCGATGCAGGACTCGATCCCAGGACCCTGGGATCATGACCTGAGCCGAAGGCAGATGCTTAACCATCTGAGCCACCCAGGCGCCTGAGATAGGCTTCTTTTTTAAACACGTTTGAAAAACGAGATTTCTCTTTTGTTTTTTCTTGATGGGAAATTTCTAATTTTAGTTTGCTTTCACTGAGGGGCTTGGCTGTTGACATGACATCGGGAAATTTCACTTTTTTTTGAGGTCACTTATACAGCAAAAATATTTTTGTGTTATTTAATCTAATATTTGCAAATTTCTAAAAGCACTAAAATTTCAAGATTTAGGTGCTCCATTCTTTGACTATAATAAAGATTCCTAGTTGATTTTGAACAAATTTGGGGAGAAAGGTTTTAGGGCTCATTTACAAAAGAGTTTTTAATCCCTGTGAGAGGTAGTTTTTCAAAGATACAGAAATTTTAAAAATCACATTGATAATGGGTAGGTGAAAGAGTCAGGTGTCCTGTTATGCTGAAGGACCTTTTTGGTACTCAGTATAATCTTACCACAAAATTTTTGTGGTTCATTTAATCTAAATGTGGATTTAAAAATAATTTCTAAAATTTGATGACTATAGTATCTCTCTGTTAGTAGAATATTGCTTGTTTGGTAAAGGAGTTATGTATGTACCAAACCAATTGCAGGTACACGTCTGCCCCATAGGACTGTCAGAACAGTATTTTTATCATGACACTGTTGCACCAAAACTTCTGTTTGTATTATTACCTCACAAAAAGTTGATCTTTAATGTAGAACTTTTTTTTTTTTTTTTTTGAGAGGGAGGAAGGAGGGCAGAGGGGGAGAGAGAGAATTTTAAGCAGGCTCCATGCCCAGCATGGAGCCTGACTTGGGGCTCAATCTCATGACCCTATCATGACCTGAGCCGAGATCATGACCTGAGCCAAAATTGAGTCAGATGCTTAACAGAGTGAGCTACCCAGACATCCCTTTAATGTAGGACTTTTTTAAAACTCAGTTTTCATTAGTATTAGATATTTCACTTTTGATGGAATGACTTCCCAAAAGCTTTATTTTTATTCCATTGAAATGATTCAACATTCAGTCATTATTGGGTAATAACTGATTTTTCATTGTTAGCAGATGATGATAAAACTGATATAATTTAGCTGCTGGCAAAGTTCTATTAATGGGATCAACATATTAACACCTGTTACTTTACACATGGAGAAGAAATTTCTCAAGTTAAATTAATTCAGAATTACACATTTGTGGTTTTACTGCAAAGACATCAAATGGAATTGGTGATAAGCACAGTTGTGCCTTTCCTTCTGGGAACCTGACCTGTGATCTCATGTTTGTAGGTCTTAATTTTATGCCCTTTGATAATTATGGAAATGTTTTACACGTTTCTTCATGAATTGTATATTTCTCTTTTTAAATTAAATCTTAGGAATTATGGTAGAGACTATTGTGTACCCTAATACTTTTCTGTTTTCTTTAGTGCCAACACTAATTTTTATCTGGGCATACTGCCTCCCAAATTAAATAGCTACTTTTCAGTCTTCCTTATACCTAAGTGTGGTCATGTGTTTAAGTCCTGGCTAA